TGCTGAAACAGAAAAAGTCAATATTGCATCTAAAAGTCAATATTGCATCTTAAAATGTAAGTGACTTGACTTGTGTGTGTGACTATGTTTGTTGTAGTGATAAGAGTTGCATCCTTGTTAAAGTTTAAGGCCTTGTGTTTTTGGGATATATATCTTTCTTTTTTTTTTTTTTTTCTTTTTTACAAAATATGCATATAACCCATATATTTTAGATTTATTATTTGTTTTAAATTAAATTAAGATTGTATTTTTGGTAATTGAACCTGAATGAATTTAAAATGAATGTGCTATATTTCAGATCATATATTTGTTTTTCTTAAATTTGAACTAACTTTATTCTCAGCTGAATTATAAATATTTTATTTCTGTATGAATTAAAAACACATTTGATTTTTCTTTTTTAATCAATGTAGAATGTGTAACTGAAATATAAACAGATTAGGGCTCTGTTCGAGGACAAGTAACTAAAACCAATGCGACATGATGAATGTTTGTTTCCCAAACCATCTGAGTAACAGCTTACTTTTCTTTCTTACTATATTCTTTCTTACTATAAACTGTGCTGTAGAGCTTGCATCAGTCAAAGCAGGGTTACATTTTGCATGTCGTGCACAATAAACCTAAAGGCACCAGGGTGGCGGTGCCACCGGCTTCATATATATATGTATATATACAGTATAAATATATATATATACAGTATATATATATATATATATATATAGCTGTGATCCGCGATGAAGGGCCAAAGCCAGTGGCATGGCCACCCTGGTGCTTTTAGGTAACTAAGGAACCGGGGTTGCGGTGCCACCGGCTTGGGCCCTTCATCGCTGCTCGCAGCTATATTTTCAAATTGGTTTCTTGAACATGACAATGAGTTCACTGTACTAAAATGGCCCACAGTCACCAGATCTCAACCCAATAGAGCATCTTTGGGATGTGGTGGAGTGGGAGCTTCGTGCCCTGGATGTGCATCCCACAAATCTCCATCAAATTCAAGATGCTATCCTATCAATATGGGCCAACATTTCTGATGAATGCTTTCAGCACCTTGTTGAATCAATGCTATGTAGAATTAAGGCAGTTCTGAAGGCGAAAGGGGGTCAAACACAGTATTAGTATGGTGTTCCTTATAATCCTTTAGGTAAGTGTGTGTGTCTATATATATATATATATATATGACTATTTTTAGAGCCATTGTTTTTTTTGTTTTTTTTTTTTTGTTTTTTTTGGAGGGAAATATGTAAACTACAACAATATTGTCCATACAAACAGTACTTTTGATGTATCACTATGAGCAATTGTGATGAACTGGAGAAGTCGTCCTTAGGGTGGTGCTGTTTCAACAAGACGTTATGGCCTCAATACACCAGACTGCTGTGTGACTTCAAAAGCTTCCAAGGTTTAAATGTTTAAATATGTTCAGTCTTCAATACAACCTCTGTAATAAAAAGGAAAATTTTAAATTTTTACACCCAAATCCCCCCTTTGAGTATTGTGCACTTTAAAGTAGCTGTATAAAACAAACATTTCATACAACCTGTCAGATATCATGGAAATAGTCTACATGTCCTGAGATATGATACTTATCTATGTGGCAGTCTAGGCTTGTAAACAGAGCAAACAAGAAGTGTGTGGCATTAACCAATGACGTGATTCTGGGGCGGGGCTAACTGGTTGATCAACCAATAGCAGATGGGGAGAGTGTCTGGGAAACCTCTTTGGAAACAGCTATTGAGTGTTGAAGTGGTGACGTCACTTTGTAGGACAACTCGGAAGCTAGCGTCGCATGGGTTCCCTCAGCCGAAAAGCAATGCATTTTCCCCATAGACTTTGGGAAAATCATAAAAAATAAGATCTGTGTTTAACAAAGAGTTGTGACCCTTACACGTTTTGTCTATCAAGATAATCTTTACAAGTTAATCCAAAATTTATACATTTTGAAGCCTATATAAAGATTTTAAAAAACACAGACACAATAAAGTTTAAAAAAAACATAAGCAGGTTATAACTATGTTCTATGTCATAGATCAAAACGTGAAAATATTTAGAGGCTCTGTTCACCACAGACCTTATTTCAGGCGATTTAGCAAAAACCCCGGCTTTAGAGCGAGGGAACCGTAGTGCTAAAATGCTAACTCACTTCCGTGTTTCGGCCTACAGAGTGACGTCGTAACTTCGGCACTCCATTGATGCTATGGGCTCTATGCACGGCGGTATTTCCGGTGAAGGATTAAGGATGCTCGATAACTTCCGCCGATCGTAGAGTCCAATGCAATACCGAGAATTTATATTGAATTTTATAGTCCATGGTTATAATAAAGAAACGTTAGTCACAAAAACAGATAAAACAGACATCCCTCGTTGTGTTTATGCTTCTTTTTAAAATTATATTAAATAAACATAACTATAAAATTACATCTAAACGTACGTTTCGTTTCAAAGACGGGAGGACAGTAAATTTTGAAGACTCTGCCATAATCCCGTTTTCCTCGGTTCTCCTCCGCTTAAATCTCCACAACCGGAAATGGACGAGCATCCTTGCGTCAAATGCGGAACTTATGCGTGCATATAGCCCATTCCTAAAAAAATAAAAATAGCCCATTCCTTTTGATGGCTAGTGGTCATAGAAATTGCCCACAAAAGCTTATATTAGGTGTGTTTTAAATTGATATTTTAGTTATAATATATTTTTGTCTTGATACAGGTTTAATTTTTTCATGAAAGTGATAAATTTAAAAAAAAGGTAACATTTTAGGCATATTCTTTTAGATTGAGCTACACAAACGTTAACAAAGATATAGCCTACTGTAACATATGTATTTCTCATAGCTAGTTTATTAACTGATAAGACCTTATTGTAAGGTGTTACCTAAAATCTAATAAGTACGGAATTCATAGCAAATTATAACATTTCTTAAAGCAATAGTCCACCTAAATTCTGTCATCATTTACTCACCCTTGTGTTGTTCAAAAACCTGTATTTTGAGAATGTTGTGGTTGAAAGTTGCCATTGACTTCCATAGTATTTTGTTATGGGTAGGTCTATCAGCATTCTTCAAAATATATTTTTGTTCAACAAGATAGAAACTCACACAGGTTTGTAACAACAACACAAGTGTGAGTAAATGCTGACAGAATTTTAATTTCTTGGCGAACTACCACTTTAAGGCGTTAATGGTACAGTGTATTTATCAAGCTCGTTAGTCAATAAAAAAAAAAAAAAGTGCTATATTCCTGTGATGTGCCTTTAATGCCCAAATAATCGGCAAACTGAGTGTTAGCTGAGTCGGTTATAGGAAATTGCCAGTCATGCCCACAAAAATGCAGTCTAGATAACGCTTACTTTTTTTTTCTTTTCTTTTCTTTTTTCTTTTTATTTTTTTATTTTATTTTTTTTTTAAAGAATTTCAACTACAGCCATGGGGTACATTGAGTAAACAAAACAACGGGGAAAAAAAGAAGAAAAAGAAAAGACAAATATATAAGAGAAACACGCGCACACACACAGCCAATGAGCGCGTCTCAAGTGATGTCCACGCGTGAGATTTGCTCGTGAAGTTTGAGTGGGGTGGAGTTTTCCCGCCTCCTTCTTCATGTCTCCTCCTCCAGCGCTCCGCTCGGGTTTGCCGTGATTTCATACCGAAGTCATACTTCACATTCCAGCTTTACTGTCAAATCAGGAGAAATATTTCTTCAAAAACACCAGCGTGGTTTGCATTTGTAAACGAGCTCATGAGATAAAGCCTGGAATCCATCTTTTTGCGCACAGCAGAGCTGAGGTTTGCGTTTAAGGTAAGTGCAAAACTCTTGTTGCGCTCCTTTGTTTCTTTCATGCAGTCACTGCGCTCGCGCTGCAGTTTTTACATCATTCTCATTTTTGGCATTTTTTCGGAGCCGCTTCAGCGATGTTGCATTACACACTTTACACACGTGGGTTTACAGATGGAAACCTATAACTGATATTTCAAAACAAACATGGATGAGTAGAATAAGCACTGTATGCGTGTGAGAAAGTTTGTCGCCTACTACTAATTAAGTGGAGCAAATGATTTTAATCACATATGATTATGGTTTCATGGTTTGTATCTCTTTGTATTTACAATAAAATAGAGCACATAGTACAGCTTTTTTAAAGTCTAAACTGTGTCATCTTTTCATTTGAATGGCTACATTTCAAGTTTGTGTTTATATATCAAATGTCAAGTATACTTTTCTAGTTGTATACAAGCTGTGTGCCCAAAGCCATTTTGTCCTACAATGCATAGATTAAAACAGGGCCACTGTACATCATAGGCCAAAAAAAAAAAAAACAATGAACAAGAACTGCCAGAAGTTTTAATCAGTATTTTGTTGTTGTTGATGCTCTACAAAGGTGAACCAGCGTAAATGTGTTTCAAGATTATTGTTTTTCTGTAAATAATTAATGTAATATGGCCGTGTCTTTGTGTTTCGTGTAGGTTAATGAGCTTTAAGCCTGTAGGAATTACTCATAAAACCCAGCCTATTCATGAAAATCTTCCTTTCTGATGCCCTGCATTGTGTGCATAAAATGATCAGTCTCTTGGATGATTCAGTTACAGCTGTTAGAGGGAGTGTGGTGATCCCATTCATCAGAAATAGTCTTAAGTCATTTAAGATCCCTTGCATCTCTGCTCAGTCATCACGCGTGTCGGTTCAACGCGCCCCCTCAGTTTCGCCGTGCAGAGATTCAACAGGTTCTTCAGGTTGAGTAAGGTTACAGTGAGCAATCAAAGGAGAATTTCTTGTAAAAAAAAAATGTGACCAAATATAACAGTGGTGCCCAAGAAAAAAAAATCCAGATATTTCCTTCAAGAGCTCTTGCTGAAGTGTGAACTCTTCTCACTCATTAATGGACTCTCACTGTAAAAAAAAAAAAAAGTTGCTTCCTTAAATTAAGTAGCTACAATCAACTTGGATATTTCAACTTAAATTACATTAAACTGACTTTAAAAATTGAGTTGGCTCTTGAGTTAAAGCAATGTAAAAACATATTTTGTCATAACTGTACACTATAAAATTGAATATGCTTTATAATAAAAAAAAATGTGGCAACAGATTACAAGCAATATTATTAATTAAATGTAACATATTGGAATTGAGTAAAAATTAATCAAATTTAATTCCTTAAAAGTTAACCATTTAAAATGACTAAAACTTACAACAACCAAAAAAACATAAATTTAAGTCACCATTGTGGTGATCAGTGTTTGTTTTAGGTTTATTGTAAAATTACGGTTTTCTCCTTCAGTGATTCTGCTTGTTAACATCAGGTGTCTTCAATGTTGGCAATATAAAATAAAGACATTTTAATTAATCTTTGACGTCTGTCTGTTAGTGAGATATTTTTGTTAAATTTTTTGGTGTAAACTTTGCCCATTTTAAATGGTTAACTTTTAAGGAATAATTTGATGAATTATTACTCAATTCTAATTTGTTAAATTTAATTAATAATATTGCTTGTAATCTGTTGCCACAATTCTTTTGATTAGATAAAGCATATTCATTTTTACAGTGTAGGCGTTTCCAATTATGTTCATCATTATTATTAACAATAACATCTTTATGATTGCCTTTTTTATGAAGAACACTAAAACAGTTACACATTAGTGGATTATTGCATGATATTTATTCATTCACATGGGCAATAATATTATAGGTTTTCTGAACATTGTATTTTTTTGTTTCTCTATGAAAATAACCCAACGAGAAGGGGGATTTTCTTAACACTGGCTGTGAAGCTTCAAGAGGGTCTGCAAAACATGACAAGTGTGTTGGATGAGCTCACCGCTTTAAATAGCATTGCAGTGTGTTTGTTTCGGCTTCAGGCCGCTACTCTGTGAGGAACGATATCTTGCTGATCTACACAAGCAGTTCTGTCATCCTTTAGGGCTCTAGATTTTTCGGGTCGACCCTCTTTTGCGTCTCTCTGCACCTGGGGGCGTGGAGGTCAGTGGTGTGCCTGTATATCCAGACTTCAAAATTGTCACTCTTTGTACAATTTCCTGTTGATCATCTGGTGTTGGTCGATTTAGTCTGAACTTAGACATGTGTGACGGATTCTTTCCTCATGCGGCGTACAACTGTATTGTTTTCTTAGCCGTATGGAAGAATTCTCGTTCAGTTTTCTGGTAAAAGTCTGCTCGGAGGGCGTTTTTAAGAGGTGCAGACAGGCATAGATGAAGACTGACGCTTTCTTCTCAAAACAAGTTGTCGATTTTCGACAGGGTTTTAAAAGTCTGTCATCATTTACTCGCCCTTATGTTGTTCCAAACCTCATCTTCGGCATACAAATGGAGATATTTTTGGTATACTCCCATCATTTTTAATGAGTCGAGCTGTTTAATGCCCCATCCACACCACTGCGTTTTCGTTTAAAAACGGAGACCTAAAAGGAGAAGTTAAACGATGCAGCTCCGTTTTGCGTTTTGAATCTCCGGAGGGCGTTTTAGTGAAGGATGGGACAAATCGGAGGACTTTAGAAACGATGACTCAGAGGCTCATGTTCGGCTCTATGATTGGGTGTTATCAGTCATGACGTGTCCTTCCCACGCGCATGCCCAGTGTTGGTGAATGATCAAGTGATCTGCATTTTCAGTCGGTTTAATGTGGACGGAGATCAATTCTAATACGCAGATAAAACGTTGGTGTGGACGGAGATCGTATTAGTTTTAAATCTCCGTTTTTAAACGAAAACGCTTGCCTGGATGCCAGCCCAAACTCCGCCCACAACATTTTTTGGTCGGGAAGTTCGGTCTGGACTCGATCCATTGAGGAGAAATTATGATCAGGCAAAAAATGATCGGACCAATGAAATTACCAGGGCGGGCTTTATACGATGATGGACAGATGATCTGCAGGGACGTAATCATCACGTTATCAAAGAGAGCGCTTGTCAAAGATGACTGCAGCTGGAGAATTGAGATGTATAGATTCCGCTGTTGCGTCTTTTGTAAAATAAATCGACAGCGCATTCATTTTAATAGACGAACAGAGAACTGCAATCAAGGCATTTGTCGATTGGAAAGATATTTTTGGCGTCCTTCCTACATGATTCAGGAAAAGTGAAACTTATCAGCTGGCTCTGACGGTCGCTAAGAAGATGGGACGTAATGAAAAGCCTGTGGTCGTTGTGGTTTCTCCTTTGGTGGCACTCATGGAGAAGTAAGTAAAAGAAGCAACACTCGTTATTTAACTTCTAAAATAAATAAAGTTAGGCTACGTTCTGTATTTGAAAACTGCGCTATGCAAAGGAGTTGACTTACTGCGTTGCTCTGATTGGTTGTAGGTCTGTCCGACTATCCAATTGAGTGCAGAGGTTTTTTTTTTTCCTCGTTCGGTTAAGACACGCCTCATAATCAAAGCCTAATAGAGCGGTTTCAGACTCATATTCTCTCTTGAATATGAGTATGACGAAGGTCAGGCTACGAAAACGCAGTAGTGTGGACAAGGCCTAAGGCTATACGGAAATGATTCTGAAGAGAAAACGTTGTGTTATCACTTTTTTATTCTGCGTTTTGGGTGGGAAATCTGTGTGCATATGGTGACGCAAAAGTGTGTGAAATTCAATGTAGTATGCACTCCAGGCGGCTAGGTGGCGATGTGAAGCACTGCCACACAACAACACCAATTTCACGCGCCTGTGTACAACCTTCACTGTCTAGCAGACTTTTGCGTTTTTCCCAAGCGGCGACATTCTAATCTGAAAAATGAAGCCTTCCCGAAAGTGCGAAAAACTGCAACACATCTAAAATCCGCTAGAGGGAGGTCTCAAAAGGGAGCAACTATTCATAGATCCCATGTTAAAATGTCCGTTTTCGATAGGTTCCGAGTGCCTGACAACTGTGAGGGGGGTGAATTTTTTTCTAACCCGTTAGGTTAGATCGTATTTAGATATAAAATGTATGACAAATAAGGGCAGTTAACTTTGAATGACAGCTGATAACGGGATGCGCCGAGTGGAATTTTACGTCTCGGTCATGATCTGACACACCACATCATACCACCTCTGTATCCTTTCTGAACATTTGTATTTTGTATTTCTCAAGATTTTCTAATATGGTGCCGCCCATACCCCCCATAAACAGCCTCAAAACTGTTCTTCAGAAAGTCTATGGGTGACGTCACAGACGCTTTGTCCATATTTTGTATAGTCTATAGTTTTTAACCTTTACACGGGAACGCAGCGGTTAAGCGTTTTTAAAATTTCCACTCTGGAGGATGGTTTCATTTTTTTGCGTTTTTAAGCTCCAAAAACGCTGTCACCGCGTAAACGAAAGGCACATCCGAGAAAATATTTTTACGTTTTCACCCACGAGCGTTCTCGTGTAAACAGGGCCTAAGTCTTCTGTAGAGACTTACAAAAGTGAACAATTTTAGGCTTTTAATCATATAATAGTTGGTGCACATACAGAGAGCTCATCAAATAAACATTGAAGCTCATCTGTACTGCTTGATGTAAAGAACAAAAATCGTTAGTTCACGCACATCAAACAAGTTTTTAATTTGTACTCTTTGAGTATGGCCTTGTTAGCGTAGCAACGCTAGCACCATTGAAATCAGAGGAATATACTTGTGGAGTTTGTGTTTATCTAAAATGGTCCGAATCAGTAATTCATTAAATCTGTGATAATTTGCTTCAATGGTGATTTCACTGTAGTCTGTTTTCATTGGCTTTCGACAACTGTTTCCACTTGAATTGAAATGCTATGGAATGGCTACGTATGTTGTTGGCCACATGTTAGCAACCACAAGCATGTTGGTTGGGATCTAGG